GAAGCTGAAGGTATCGTGCGATAGGGGGATTGTAGAGAAAGATAGGGTGGAGACCGACAATCAGTATAATCTGCTCAAGTACAGCAGGTTCGATGGGATGAATGGCCTACTCGTGCCGATTTCTAGTATTTGGGGTTTTTCTGCAGGGGTTGTGGGGTTAAGGCAGCAAGGAAGTCTTAAAAAGGGATAACAGCAGAAAGTAGGGAGAGAGAATCTGGAACCCCGAGCTTCAAAAACAAAAATGCCATTTGAGGGCGGGATGGTCAATCGAAAATTTCAAGATGGACATGAATGGATGCTTGTTCAAGACTGTTTTGAAAGATATACACGCAACAGAAGCAGAAGGAGTTAACATATCGATCAACCCCCATCTAATTCATCAGAAAAAGCTTGACAGGCTGTAAATACGCATGGAACAGTTAGCCAATGCCTTAACTAGCACTGTAAAAGATAACATTTTCTACTTCTTATGAACATACCCTCCCTTCCAATGCACTCAAGATATATTTATGTTTCCATAAACCATTCACAACATCAGGATCTCTCGTTGCAACAAATCAAGTGCTTCTGGCATTGCAATGTTGGCCAGCACATTGTTGTCAAGTTTTATTTTCCCATGAGATGAACAGGCAAATCTCAGTGTCACAGTTTAAAGTAAACTATGTGACGGAGAGTTCTTATCAAAAAGCAGTGCGGGCTGCTGCATCAAATACATGCCATTAGTCTCAAATAACACGGCAATATTTGTACAGCAAAAGTCTTACTGCAGAAAATATTGTTAAAGATATACCAACCAGCAGCAGGTGGCCGCATTTACCGCTTGTGTAACTGGTCACAGGGAGCTTCTTAAAAACTCTCCGTAACAGAAATCATTTAGAGTTCTTAGCGTGTATATTCTGTTTACCTCGTCAATGCTGTACAGGCCGGCAAACGTTGCACGGATGCGCTCGACGGATTTTGGACACTCGGTTAAGTATTTCTCTACCACGCCACTGCGTGCTAACTCCTGCTGGACTTTCTTCGTTCCCACGAGGTGGGTAGCAATATCGGGACATTTAATCGCTTTGGAAAGTTCAATCAATAACCGTGCTTCCCAGCACTGAAGCAAAACAAAAAGAAGAAATTTCAACAGGTACAGCCATTGCCTTTCAACACAGCACATTACCATTCATCAGGTATAAACCGCGCACCAAACTGCTCACAAACACTACACCCTGTCATCATAATTTCAGTCAGTGCTCCTGCCTCAGTTGAAACATGGGTGACGTGGGGGAAAGATTTTCCCTCGATTTCTCCCCTCAATACCCAGCTCTAGTTTGGGCGCTGTACCCGGGTTGTACCAGAGGACTTTGCAAATAGTTAGGTCAACATTTCCAATGCAATTCTGCCACCATCAGCTGAAATGGTGCAGACTGTGTGCACCTGGTGGCTCCATGTATCAGCTTTTTACAAGATCACATTTCAGGAGAAGGGTCACTGGACCTGAAACATTGAACACTGCTTTCTCTCCACAGATGCTGCCAGACCTGCTGAGTTTCTCCAGCAATTTCTGTTTTTGTTCCAAATTTTCCGCATCTTTGTTTTATTTATTAATTGACCTACTGAGATGTTGGAAGGGCAAGGAAAATAAAGAAAGCCTTTCTCCGACTACATTGTTGACATAGCACCTTTTGCAACCTCAGAACATCTCTCTACACGGAGTGAAGTGCTTCTGTCATTGTAATGCTCGGAAGGCAGCAGCCAATATTCAAAACTGTGCAAATAGTCAGTATGATAAGGACCAGATTAATTCATAGTTATGAGGGCAGGGGGATGAATTGGGAATTATACTGCAGAAAACCTCCTTGCTCTTTTCTACATCCACCTGTGAGGGTAGACATAGTTTCATCTCTCATTTGAAGGGCAGCTCCTCTGACAGTGCAGCACTGCATCAGTGCGTCAACCTAGGTTTTGTCCTCAAGCCTCCAATCATGGCCTTGACCCCTCTGATCTGCACACTCAGTGGAGCAAGACTCAAGCAAAACCAGTTCTAACACCTGTCTGAAAATGGACCCTCTGCTCAGGAAATTAAGCAAGTGCCTCACTACTTGTGGATTTTGTATAATTGCTAAAGAGCTTGTCTGCTAAAACTGACTCAAAGATAACGTCTGAAATTATTTTATAGTATAACTTTACAGAGAGCTCGGTAATTCTACTGGATTGGTTTAAGGTAATTGCCAAAGAAATAACAAATCAGATAGAAACTTAAAAACATGAAAGAACTGCAGATTCTAGAAATCAAACAAAAACAGAAATTGCTGGAAAAAGCTCAGCAGGTCTGCCAGTATCTGTTGAGAGAAATCACAGTTAACATTTCAGGTCCAGTTATCCTACCTCAGGACAGAAACTCAGTTATGTTTGGGGAAGCATGGCCTGAAGGGGTTTCAAGCAGATTCAATAGTAACTTTAAAAAATACGAGAGAGAGTGGGTAAGAACCAAAAGTGGGGGGTTGTGGCGGTATTTGACAAAAGCCTGAAAAGGGCTGCATCTGCATCACTAACCCTTTGTTCAGTGTTTATATCCAGGGACAAAAGCAGACTATGTAAACTGAGGATGTCCTACATTTGAACTCTGGTTTGTGCCTCATCCGATCATCTGAACAAAGGTGGTACCAATGAACTGGCCATTGAGCAAAAAAATCAATGGAAAGCACAAAAGAGGAATTGCACGCTCACATCTTCATCGTGGTAATCTTCTGGACTGTATCCAGTGCGAAAGTAAGCCACTGCAACTTCATATCCATCTCTAAATATTAGCACAAAAGGACAATTAATATTGCTTCAAAACTACCTAAAATAGTAGCTTTTAAGTCAGGCATTAGCACCTTTTAGAAATGCTTCTAGTTCCATGAATTGTCATGTCGAAAGAAAGGGCCCATCTTTATTGTTTTATTCTTTCATGGGACAAGGGTGTAGCCAACCCCAATTTCACTTGAACTTAACAGCTTGCTCGGCTGTTTCAGAGGGCAATTCACCATCAAAGAGACTGTGGGACTGGAGTCACACATAAACCAGGCCAGGTAAAGACAGCAAATGTCTTTTCATGGAGAGACCAGGTTGTGTTTTTAACAACAATTGGTGACAGTTGTCACGGCTACTATTGCTCAGAGTAGCTTTAATGTGAATTAGTAAATCTGGAATTGAAGATTCACCAGCTGCCTTAGTGGGATTTGAACCCATGCCCCCAAAACATTAACCTGGGCCTCTGGATTACTCACCTAGTTACACCAGCACTACAATTCCCCAGAGAGAAAACTAAACTCTTAAAGTGAATGTAGGAGGCACGTTGTTAAGGTGAGGGGAGAAAGTTTTAAAAAAAAAAAAAAGGACGAGGGGCAACTTTTTTTTTTAATTACACACAGACTGGTTGGTGTGTGGAATGAATTTCCACAGCAAGTGGTGGATGCAGGTACAGTTACAACATTTGAGAGAGATTTGGATAAGTACATGAATAGGAAGTGTTGGGAGGGATATGGGCCAAATGCAAGCAAATGGTACTAGTTTAGTTTGGGAACATGGTTGACATGGATTAGTTGGACTGAAGGGTCTGTTTCCGTGCTGTATAATTCTTTGATTCTATTCATACCATATAGGAATAGAATAGTGACACATTAAATAAAGTGTCAATTAGATTAATTTTGGCAAGATATTGCTTTCTGACCTGTCGAGTGGCTGTCTTGAGTCAGCTAGGCTAAATCCTTAACATCACAGACAGGAATTAAAACTTACACAAAAAGTTTCTTCTCTTCGTTCAGGGACCCTCTCTCGTGTATGTCCACAGTCTGTCTCCTAATTACACGAATGTTTCTGTACGGACAAAGAAAAATTAACAAAATAATTAGTCAAAAGACTGAGGATGTTGGCAATCCAAAGTAAAAACAAAGTGCTGCAGAAACTCGGAAGGTCTGGCAGTGTCAGTGGAGAGAGAAACAGTTAACATTTCGAGTCCTGTGTTGAGGCCCTTCATCAAAGCTGCTTGACTTTCCTGCTCCTCTGATGCTGCCTGACCTGCCGTGTTCCTCCAGCTCCACACTGTATTGAGCATCTCCAGCACTTGTTTTTTTACAGCAATTCTCCAACAGGTGAAACAGGAGAAAATAGCACAGACACATCATTCTAAAAATTTTACAAGATCAAAAAAAAAATTGCTGAAGGGAGACAGGTCGCAAAAGCTTTTCACCCTGCAATGCAGTTTCAATCTGAAAAACGCAAATTACTCTGGAAAGACAAAGCATCTCAACAAAAGAAGTGTAAAACAGGCTGAACACAAAGTATTTAACATTGCTTAACATGCAACAGCGTGGTATTTTCCATTAGAAAAATTTTCTGTTAGTTCAAAAAGACTTTCTGCCCCGAAGACAATTTCAGCAACAGTTTCAGCACCAGGTATATAGTCTGTACGATTGCGTGGCACAGCCTGCATGATTGCAAGGCAAACTAGGTTCTCTCCTTGCTGCCAAAAGACTGGTGGTTGCTGGCTGTCCCGAATTGCCCAGCAGGCAGTTAAGGATCAACTATATACCTGTGGGTCTAGAATCACACGTAGGGCCACAGTGGGTAAGGACTAGCTTTAATGTGAATTAGTAAATATGGAATTGAAGATTCACCAGCTGCCTTAGTGGGATTTGAACCCATGCTTCCCTAAAAGGGCACTAATTTGCGACATGGTGGCTCAGTGGTTAGCACTGCTGCCTCACAGCGCCAGGGACCTGGGTTCGATTCCACCCTCGGGTGACTGTCTAAGAGTCTGCACGTTCTCCACGTGTCTGTGTGGGTTTTTTCCGGGTGGTCCGGTTTCCTCCCACAGTCCAAGGACGTGCGGGTTAGGTGGATTGGATATGTTAGATTGTCCATAGTGACTAGGGATTGTAGTCTAGGTGGAATAGCCTGGGACATGCAGGGTTAAGGGATAGGGAGGATGCTCTTCAGAGATGTGGACTTGATGGGCCGGATGGCCTGCGTCCTCACTGTCGGAATTCAATGATTCTTAACATACCTTGTGGATTTTTAAGGGTTACGCAGTCTTGATTAGACTAGTCTGCCATGTTATACAGGGTACTGGTGGGGCCAGGTCTGGTGTAGTATTCCTGCTTTGGTCTCCTAAGGAGGGGAAAAAGTTAACATTTCCTCTGACCAAATCACAAAAGCACTTGAAATAATTTGAGATTTTGCCAAAAATGGTGAGAAGAAAGTACATTCAGCGATTTCTGATCAGAATGGGAATAAATAACGACAGCAATCATATCCCTATGAAGTTCATACCTGTTTTCACAACGAAACGGTTGAGAGACATTCTGTCAACTAAACCCAAACCTAACTAACCTACCCCAGCTGACACATACTTATTCCACAGCTCCATTTCCAAGCAGCGTTGGTCAAAGATATTCTTGGAGATCTTTTCAACTAGGAAGAGAACCACTGCCCTGGAGAAGGAAAAGGGAGAAAAGTACAGTAAGGCTTGTGTTTACACATCGTGTAATCATTAGCAATTATAAGGCAACCAATGAACAGAAGTCTTGGTCTGAAATTGTGGTCTAAAGAAACCAAATGTACTGATTAGGTCCCTTGTTGACAGCGACCAAATTTAGTTCTTATGACAAAAGGATACCAAACACATTTACTCACACTGTGTGGGATTCATCAATGGTCTCTGACTGGCTGGTTTCTCCTTTTGCATGGAAGGAAAAAGCAAGGATGACACGTAGAACACTCAAAGCAGAGGCTACAGAGCACTGCGGGACCACGGAAGTTAATTCCATTTCTCGTTACATCCAACTTAAACCTTATTATGCCTCAACCATTTCACTGTGGTCGAGTAAATATACCACCCACTGCCGAACAAAATAATATCAAAAGGGAAAAATCAAGAGAGCCGTGGGTGCTGTAAAATCGGAAACAAAAACAGAAACTGCTGAAAAGCACAGCAGGTCTGGCAGCATCTGTGGAGACAAAAATCAGAATTTATATTTCGGGTCAGAAGGTTCCATATTTCCTCAGAAGGTTCTGCGGGAGGGTCACCGGACCCAAAACATTAACTCTGATTTCTCTCCACAGATAGCACCAGATCTGCTGAGTTTCTGCAGCAATTCCTCTTTCTGTTTCTAAAATGAAAAAGGGCAAAGGTTTAAGCATTTCAAGAATAACACTTGGTGCTTCCGGCTAACTTTAGAGGTCCTTCTGAAATTGGGAAAATGGATTAAGGGCTGAAAAATTCATTTCACATACAGGTAGTTCTGCTATAATGTGTGTTTTGTGAACGCAAATTGGCTGTAACGTGATTGATGAATAGTGGACACTTTGGATAACGTGAACTTTCTGCTGTACAAGTATAGCTATTTTCTACAGCGATTTCCCTATAATGCAATTTTTTATAGCGCGAGGTTACACAAGAACACAACTATCGCGTTACAGGAGAAATACCTGTATATGCTTTTTTGTTATTTGCGCAGCTGGCTACACAGCGAAGGTCACGTCAAGCCTTGAGCAGTAAGCTCCAGCCATCCATAGTGTTATGCTTGAGGTTGCAGGATGCATAGATTCCTTTCAAGTTCTACTCCTCCGCTGATCATAATAGGTAACATTTAACCAGAATGGTTATAATAAAATGCTTACTGTATCTGGTACCTATGGGACCAGGAGTGTGCCCCAATTGACCAAATATTCTGGATAATCAAGAGGTCCACGTAATCAATGTAAAAAACAAACGTTGGATAATAGAGACGTAATGCGTCACTGTTAGACTTTATTTACAGCATACATAGACTCAGAGATATACATCATGTAAACAGACACTTCAGTCCAACTCGTCCAAGCCAAACAGATACGTCAAATAAATCTAGTCCCATTTGTCAGCATTTGGCCCATATCCCTCTAAACCCCTCCTATTCAAGTGCCCATCCAGATGCCTTATAAATGTTGTAATTGTACCTGCCTCCACCACTTCCTCTGGCAGCTCATTCTATACGTGCACCACCCTCTGTATCAAAAAGTTGCTCCTTGGATCCCTTTTATATCTTTCCCATCTCACTTTAAACCTACGGCCTCTAGTTTTAGACTTCCCCACTCTAGGAAAAAGACCTTGTCAATTTACCCTGTCCACGCTCCTCACGATTTCATAAACCCTTATAAAAGGTCACCCCTCAGCCTCCGATGCTCCAGGGAAAATAGTCACAGCCTTTCGCTGCAGCTCAAACCCTCCAACCCTGGCAACTTCATTGTAAATCTTAAGTGAACCCTTTCAAGTTTCACAACATCCTTCCTATAGCAAGGAGACCAAAATTGCACGCAATATTCCAACAGTGGCCTAACCATTGTCCAAAACAGGAGCAACATGACCTCCCAACTCCTACAGTCAATGCACTGGCTAATAAAGGCAAGCATACCAAATGTCTTCTTCACTATCCTATCTCCCGAGACTCTACTTTCAAGGAATTGTGAACCTGCACTCCAAATTCTCTTTGTTCAGCAACATCTTACCATGAAGTGTATAAGTTCTGCCCTGAATTGCCTTTCCAAAATGCAGCACCTCACATTTATCTAAATCAAACTCCACCTGCCACTCCTCAGCCTATTGACCCATCTGATCAAGATCCCGTTGTACTTTGTGGTAACCTTCTTCGCTGTCCACTCCATCTCCAGTTTTGGTGTCATCTGCAAACTTACTAATCATAGCTCCTATGTTCACATCCAAATCATTTGATCCCTGCTGTCTATACCTGGTATACAGTTCTTTCTTTTTCTTGACCAAAACCTCAATTTTTCTCGTCATCCAGCATTCCCCAGACCTACCAGCTTTGCCTTTCACCCTAACAATAACACACTATCTCTGGACTCTCATTATCTCACTTTTTGAAGGCTTCCCATTTTCCAGATGACCCTTTACCTGCAAACATTTGCCCCCAATCAACTTTTGAAAATTCTTGCCTAATACTGTCAAAAGTGGCCTTCCTCCAATTTAGAACTTTAGCTTTTAGATCTGGTCTATCCTTTTCCATCACTATTTTAAAACTAATAGAATTATGGTCACTGGGCCCAAAGTGCTCCCCCACTGACTCCTCAGTCACCTGCCCTGCCTTACTTCCCAACAGTAGATCACGTTTTGCACCATCTCTAGCAGGTACATCCACATACTGAATCAGAAAATGTTCTTGTACACACTTAAATTCCTGTCCATCCAAGCCCTTAATACTATGGCAGTCCTAGTCTATGTTTGGAAAGTTAAAATTCCCTACCATAACCACCTTAATATTCCTACAAATAACAGAGATCTCTTTACAAATTTGTTTCTCAATTTCCCACTGACTATTTGAGGGTCTATAGTACAATCCCAATAAGGTGATCATCCCCTTTTTATTTCTCAGTTCCGCCCAAATAACTTCCTGTATGTTTTCCCAGGAATATCCTCCCTAAATACAGCATAATGTATCCCTAATCAAAAACCCATTGCCTCTCTTCTCTTGCCCCCCTCCATTCTTCCCATTGCATCTATACCCTGGAACATTAAGCTGCTAGTCCTGTTCATCCCTGAAAATGTTTCTGTAATTTGCATCCAGTCCCATGTTCCTAACCATGGCATGAGTTAATCTGCTTTACCTGTAATCCCTTACTGGAAGATCATAGCAGTCACAGAGATGTGGCTCAGGGATGGACAGGACTGGCAGCTTAATGTTCCAGGGTATAGATGCCATAAGAAGGATCGAAAGGGGAGCAAGAGAGGATGGGTGTGGTGTTTTTGATTAGGTATAACATCATTTAATCAACTGCTATATGTTTGGGTGGTTGCTTTACCCGAAACACTACTTAGGTAGTGTCTCCCACCCATCCTCCTCCTGTAACCAAAAAAAAAGGTTCCGAGCGCCGATTTGGTAAGGTTACTAGATTTTTTTTTTTTTTTTAAATAGTCTGTTTGGGAATTCAGAACAGTGGGAGTGGATGTTAGGGCAGTTGCATGCTCCTCCTGTAGAATGTGGGAGGTAAGGGTCACCACTAGTGTCCCCCCTGACTTCATCTGTGGGAAGTGCACCCAACTCCAGCTCCTCGGAAACCGTGTTAGGGAACTGGAACTGGAGCTGGAGCTGGATGAACTTCGGATCATTCGGGAGGCTGAGGG